ACATTACACGTTCAACGTGATATCATTATCAGTGCAGTGTGTACAACACCAACTACACCGATCAATCTCTATTCACTATCATGTTAATATCCAAGATTTTTTTATTTTATTAGCTTCGTGAATCGTTAGTTTTGAGATAAATAATTGGATAGATTTATTAATTTCTATCCGTCTTATTTTATTGTCACACAGATAAAGCACTCTAATTACACAAATAGGAGAAGAAGTTACAGACTTCGACAGAAACATTATATGCCAGCCATTGCGTATTGTAAATTTAAGCTTTCCAATAGAAGTGAAACATTTTTCAAGTAATATTCAGATTTTCATTGTTTCTTTGAGCTCACTAATTCGTGAGTCATATTCATTGTGAAAATGTTTTCTATCCGAAATTCTCGGTTAGTGTAGCATATTGAAAAATTGAGTGCTCTAAATTTCTCGATAACAGAAGAAGCTACAGACTTCGACAGAAACATTATGGACCAGCTATATTGCGTATGGTAAATTTGAAATAAAAGTGAAAAGTTTTTGGATTATCGTAAATAATTTCAGTTTTTCTTTGAACGTCCTAATTCCTGAAATAAACATGGATTGTTAAGATAAATTCTATTAAACTGAGCTACTACTGTATGCTAAACATGGGTAGACTATTGAATGGTCGAGGGTATTATAAATATAAATATAATTATGTTGTGGTTTCCACTAACCAATCAGCTTAATTGGTTAGGGTTACGATTAGGGTTAGGGTTAGGGTTAGTCTAAATTGTCATATTGGGTTCAGTTGTCCGGTAGCCGGTTGAGTAGATATACAGATCCTCACAGTGAACTGCTATTGTCACATTGCTAAACTATGTTTTCAGGTACCGGTGTCCCAGCTGAAGAATAACTTCTCGGCAGTTTGTGATCTGGTGTCCGCGATACAGTCCTTCTCCGTCCACCACCTTCACTACGCTCCCAACATCGCTGCTAGTGGTAATTTACCATCTCTACCTAGAATAGTCCTTCTTAATGACAGCTTTCTTATTTACAGACATTATTCGGAATATGTATTATTTGTTTTCCAGTAACACCGACCACAGTTGACTAATAAATTATAGAACTTAACCAATATTTATAAACAGTTGACCAATAATAAGTCACACAATTTAACCCCCCTGTCTTCAGACGCATTTTTGTGGCTTGTAGAACCGGGACATGTGAACCACCTCTCTGTCACTGAACGGCACTTTACTGGACTCCTAGCTGAGATTGAGAGAGCTGTTGAAGCCCTGATGGCCAGAAAGCAGTTTGTGTGAAGGAACCAACTTGTTCTCTAGTGAAATGAGATTGGGACTTAATTCTGTGTCGTTCCTTCCGAGACTGGGTTTGTTATTTCGATACCACCGATTAAAATGTGAATTTTATCTATGTACCGTATTTCGGTAATAATTTGGCTGTTATTGGTTTTTCTGAGCCTTTAAAACGGCTTTGTTACAACCGATTACGTCCCTTGGTTATCATCGATTTAATACATGGAAACAAGTTAATAAACCCGTAGAACCGTAATCGTATCAGTGGCGTAATTCAAACACCGTTTGTGCTACCCAAGTAACTCAGGAGTTCAAGATTGGAAAACATGCGGGCCCTTAGCCTTAGGAAATCGTAGACAAGTAACAAGGAAGCTACGGCATGATTTCTTTTTCGGTGCTGTTTGATTTCAATATTAGCTAATTTTTCTGGACACTCAGCGCATGACTTACGCCATTGAATATTACAGCTTATTTCATTTTTAATTAAATTTTGTTAATAGTTATACTTAAATGGTTTTTACAATTTTCTACGGACTGTATGAGACTTTTTATCGATTTATACTATTGTTGTCCTGATAATTATTACTTCAGTTTCCTTTTTACTTAGCAAAGTGAACTTTTTACGGGGGCCACCAAATTTCAGACATGATTGCGACTTTTTCGACATAATGTTAATTTGCTGGCCAGATATTACTATCGAATATAATTTACTAGAAACCCGCTACAGTACTAGTCGAAAGCTTTGTTTAAAAAAAGTTATGTTTTAATTTCTCTTCATCATCTAGCACTGTTGTACTGTAGAAATTAAGGATTTTATTTGACAATAACGACTATTTTGTAAGTATTTGGATTCTCTAAACGACAAGTTTTCAAAATAGCAATCACAATATCAATCACAACCAAAGTTATGAATAATCATAGTATACTTATAGCGTGAGCGTAAATGTTAGATAGTCATGTAGTTTTGGTAACATTGTAGTGTTTTTATGACTATGTCCCCGCGTTGCCAAGGAGATTTCGTCAAGTTTAAAGTATAATGGCACATGAATTGTACTGCCACTGGCGAGGGTATGAATCAACGGAGGGTTACAATGGCCTTCAGACATTTTACCAGGAACATGAAATGCTACGTTCATGTCACTGATGATTATAACAGGTTCAGAGAGAGAAATTAAATCTATACAGTGTTCTGCAGTAATTGGATGATTTTAGCTTATAATTAATTACGGTCAAATTAATTAGAGAGTTTGTTGATTTTGGGTAGGTTAACTTAAACTAGTTAAACACTTACAAGCTTAGGTAATATCTTTCATTAAAACTATTTTAAACAAATGATAATTCTTCAGCAATTCTAAGCCGGAAATAATGATGAAATGCTCTGTGACATGTACACGAGAACGAACAAACAACGTAAATATATACGATGGCGAAACTAATCAGCTGTTTGCTTGTATGAGCGGTAATAAGCACGGCTTGATCCGCCTCTCAATTGAGCCTGACATTGACGTGGCCTTCATTACAGCACTTGCTTTGATGTGGGATGTTGCCCTTAGGAATTGGGGTTAAACGGACCCTGATCTTCGTCATTAAATAATGGTGATGACTAAAAATACCTCAACGATGTGGAATCGGGGGACTATAAATAATTAGTACAAAATGGACTTGATCTGATAATGTGATATCTTTACCAAAATATATTGTACTGTACTATGTATTTTGGTAAAAATATCAGTATTAAAATATTAAGTTTATTTGAGCTTTAATTGTAAGTCGACTTCGCTTGTCGACTTCCCTAGTGCTTACACCATTGTACTTGAACGATAAACAGTTTTTTTTTCAGGTCTGTTCATATATAATTATATATTATATATCATGTTACAATTATTTAAATTTAATACAAATAGTCATCTGTGAGTAAAACTAAAAGAATTTTGTTGGATTCAGAGTCACAATTTAAGCTTTTCAATGACAAATTAGCTAACACTAGCAGCGTACCCGTCCTCCGGACGACAATAATTCTTTACTTTCACTGACACCACGTTTTCGCTTTCTAAATTTATTGGGTGACCCAAATGAGTCAAATTTAAAGACAGGATTTTCAAATATTAGAATTAGCATTAGAATCAAATTTACACGGCAATACGATAAAAATAGTAAATAATTTAAAGATTCTTCGATCTGCTGATTCAGCATCTGCCAGTTCTAAATCGTATTTTTGTTTCGATTGGCCCCCATGTGCAAAAAACAGCACACTACTTTGGAGTCGAAACAATATTGTACTGCAGTAAGTGCATAGTTTTACATGCATTGAAAATCTTATCAGCTATGTATAAAAAGATAAAATTCAATAATTAGCGACGGCACATTTCCAAGTATAGTAGTATCTGTAGTTTGTAAATAGATATTGGTTTTTATATGTTATACTCATTTGTATCTGCTAATTTAAGAGTTAGAGAAACTACTGTAAATACTGAAATAATTATTACCTATTTAAATCGCGTTTTTGACACCACTTGGAGATCCAAATTTTGGGCACTAAAATTCTTGTTCCGTGGCAAATTTTTTATTTTTTCATGCTGATTTGAAAAGCATAAAAGCATTTAACCCGGTCAAAAAAGTTTAAGTTGTATCTCTTTTACGGTTTTTGCGGAAAGTCGCGTTAAAGTTGATGCCGTGGTGTCAGTAAAATGGCACGGATAAACACATATATATCGTCTCGCTTTATTTATTGTAAGATGAACAAATTAATGAAGAAAATCTAAAAATTACGCTACTGATAGTGATACATTATTGGCGAACAATTTTATCGAATGAACGAGAGGTCTCAAAATTTGTTCATGATCAATGATCTCCGGAGACCATACCCTACAGCAATTATAAATGATTAATAACGTTCTCAAACCGTTCTTATGTTATCAACAGTGATCACTTGTTCGCCATTTTTGGGACACCCAGTATCAAATAAAACCAGTCTTTCGTTACACTTACAAAATTCATTCACACAGTCAAATTTCTGCATTATCGTCTGAATTAGCTGGAAACTCATTTTAGCTTACATGTTACACTTTCAGACGTTCGATCATCGTTGGAGGCGGCGGCGTTTTCATAAATGTTGTCAGCTTGGTTTGGGACGGCACTGGCGCTGATCGTCATTGCCTGAGTTAACGGGGCTACTGATCTACCGGCGGCAGCGGCGGCGAAAGATATTGTAGCGGTCCTCCTCTCCTCTTGGAGCCCAACCTTAACCAGCCAGTGAGACGTGACCTGGTCGTTGAGCACTATGTAGAACAGGAATACAAATATGCCCTGAAAGTTTACATGGATAATTATCTCCGTTTGTAGTGCAATTAACCATTTTTCGTCTTTAATTTTCATAATGATGATATACTTGTGTGGTGGGTATCGATATTATCAATTATGATACTTTAAAGATAACATCTAATTCGGAAGAAGGATAAAGAAGGCTGTAGAAAACACGCGCATACCTGAGAACTATTAAGAAGAATGAACAGATACTGCATCCCCGCTTGGAACTGAGGGGCTGGGAGGGACATGAATATTCCAAAGAACCAGCCTGTTCCAAGCAAGACCATCACACCGACTGCTGATTTAACCCATATAATACCAACAACTCTAAACGTTCGAATTTTTTGATGAAATTTTGTTTCCTAAGCACTGAGGTACCAACTCTGACGGTGCAATAATTATTTTGAAAAAATTTATATTTTTTATAGCTTTTTCGACCCGTACTTTTAAAAGTTCATTGTTGGAGCTTGCGTTTTTGGAACATTGCATCGTACTTTTAAAAGTACATCATATTTGAATGATGTACTTTTAAAAGCACGGGTTTAATAAATAATGTACTTTTAAAAGTACGGGTTTAATGAATAGTGTACTTCTGGAGGTATGTTACTTAATTAAACAGAAACTCAGGGTCAGATAATAAAACTAAAAGCCCTTGTCAGAATGGCTGAATAAAATTTAAACAATACCATACAAAATTTAAGTGGTACACTAAACAAATCATGATGGTGGGAACAGCTATACTTATAAACTACTATCATAATTCCATTTACCAATTTACTAGAATTTTACGAAAATTGTCAGGTTTTGTGCTTTTTACTCTAACTGATGATAAGGCTTAAAACAAAGCACACAAAGCGCAACGTCACACACTTCGCACTTAGCCAGACGCTTTTCACAACTTAAAGAATACCTAAAATGGTGAGAATGAGAAGAGAGTAGCAGAAGCTGAGAAAGTTCTAGAGGAACTCAAACAGAAGAGAGTAGCAGAAGCTGAGGGAGTTCTAGAGGAGCAGAAGAGAGTAGCAGAAGCTGAGGGAGTTCTAGAGGAACAGAAGAGAGTAGCAGAAGCTGAGAGAGTTCTAGAGGAGCAGAAGAGAGTAGCAGAAGCTGAGAGAGTCTAGAGGAACAGAAGAGAGTAGCAGAAGCTGAGAGAGTTCTAGAGGAACAGAAGAGAGTAGCAGAAGCTGAGAGAGTTCTAGAGGAGCAGAAGAGAGTAGGAGAAGCTGAGAGAGTTCTAGAGGAGCAGAAGATAGTAGCAGAAGCTGAGAGAATTCTAGAGGAGCAGAAGAAGGTAGCAGAAGCTGAGAGAGTTCTAGAGGAACAGAAGAGAGTAGCAGAAGCTGAGGGAGTTCTAGAGGAGCAGAAGAGAGTAGCAGAAGCTGAGAGAGTTCTAGAGGAGCAGAAGAAGGTAGCAGAAGCTGAGCGTATTCTAGAGGAACAGAAGAGAGTAGCAGAAGCTGAGAGAATTCTAGAGGAACAGAAGAGAGTAGCAGAAGCTGAGGGAGTTCTAGAGGAGCAGAAGAGAGTAGCAGAAGCTGAGAGAGTTCTAGAGGAGCAGAAGAGAGTAGCAGAAGCTGAGAGAGTCTAGAGGAACAGAAGAGAGTAGCAGAAGCTGAGAGAGTTCTAGAGGAGCAGAAGAAGGTAGCAGAAGCTGAGCGTATTCTAGAGGAACAGAAGAGAGTAGCAGAAGCTGAGAGAGTTCTAGAGGAGCAGAAGAAGGTAGCAGAAGCTGAGCGTATTCTAGAGGAACAGAAGAGAGTAGCAGAGGTGGAGAGAGTTCTAGAGGAACAAAGAGAGTAGCAGAGGTTGAGAGAGTTCTAGAGGAAAAGAAAATAGTAGCAGAAACTGAGAGAGTTCTAGAGGAACAGAAGAGAGTAGCAGAAGCTGAGAGAGTTCTAGAGGAACAAAAGAGAGTAGCAGAAGCTGAGAGAATTTAGAGGAACAGAAGAGAGTAGCAGAAGCTGAGAGAGTTCTAGAGGAACAGAAGAGAGTAGCAGAAGCTGAGCGTATTCTAGAGGAACAGAAGAGAGTAGCAGAAGCTGAGAGAGTTCTAGAGGAACAGAAGAGAGTAGCAGAAGCTGAGGGAGTTCTAGAGGAGCAGAAGAGAGTAGCAGAAGCTGAGAGAGTTCTAGAGGAGCAGAAGAGAGTAGCAGAAGCTGAGAGAGTCTAGAGGAACAGAAGAGAGTAGCAGAAGCTGAGAGAGTTCTAGAGGAGCAGAAGAAGGTAGCAGAAGCTGAGCGTATTCTAGAGGAACAGAAGAGAGTAGCAGAAGCTGAGAGAGTTCTAGAGGAGCAGAAGAAGGTAGCAGAAGCTGAGCGTATTCTAGAGGAACAGAAGAGAGTAGCAGAGGTGGAGAGAGTTCTAGAGGAACAAAGAGAGTAGCAGAGGTTGAGAGAGTTCTAGAGGAAAAGAAAATAGTAGCAGAAACTGAGAGAGTTCTAGAGGAACAGAAGAGAGTAGCAGAAGCTGAGAGAGTTCTAGAGGAACAAAAGAGAGTAGCAGAAGCTGAGAGAATTTAGAGGAACAGAAGAGAGTAGCAGAAGCTGAGAGAGTTCTAGAGGAACAGAAGAGAGTAGCAGAAGCTGAGAAAGTTCTAGAGGAGCAGGAGAGAGTAGCAGAAGCTGAGAGAGTCTAGAGGAACAGAAGAGAGTAGCAGAAGCTGAGAGAGTTCTAGAGGAACAGAAGAGAGTAGCAGAAGCTGAGAGAGTTCTAGAGGAACAGAAGAGAGAAGCAGAAGCTGAGAGAGTTCTAGAGGAGCAGAAGAGAGTAGGAGAAGCTGAGAGAGTTCTAGAGGAGCAGAAGATAGTAGCAGAAGCTGAGAGAATTCTAGAGGAGCAGAAGAAGGTAGCAGAAGCTGAGAGAGTTCTAGAGGAGCAGAAGAGAGTAGCAGAAGCTGAGAGAATTCTAGAGGAGCAGAAGAAGGTAGCAGAAGCTGAGAGAGTTCTAGAGGAGCAAAAGAGAGTAGCAGAAGCTGAGAGAGTTCTAGAGGAGCAGAAGAAGGTAGCAGAAGCTGAGCGTATTCTAGAGGAACAGAAGAGAGTAGCAGAGGTGGAGAGAGTTCTAGAGGAGCAGAAGATAGTAGCAGAAACTGAGAGAGTTCTAGAGGAACAGAAGAGAGTAGCAGAAGCTGAGAGAGTTCTAGAGGAACAAAAGAGAGTAGCAGAAGCTGAGAGAGTTTAGAGGAACAGAAGAGAGTAGCAGAAGCTGAGAGAGTTCTAGAGGAACAGAAGAGAGTAGCAGAAGCTGAGAAAGTTCTAGAGGAGCAGGAGAGAGTAGCAGAAGCTGAGAGAGTCTAGAGGAACAGAAGAGAGTAGCAGAAGCTGAGAGAGTTCTAGAGGAACAGAAGAGAGTAGCAGAAGCTAAGAGAGTTCTAGAGGAGCAGAAGAGAGTAGCAGAAGCTGAGAAAGTTCTAGAGGAGCAGAAGAGAGTAGCAGAAGCTGAGCGTATTCTAGAGGAACAGAAGAGAGTAGCAGAAGCTTTGAGAGTTCTAGAGGAACAGAAGAGAGTAGCAGAAGCTGAGACAATTCTAGAGGAACAGAAGAGAGTAGCAGAGGCTGAGACAATTCTAGAGGAGCAGAACAACTCAGCTGAGGAAATGCATAGACTACAAGGAAAGGAATCTTATGTTGGACCAGCAGATTGCTGATGGCACACAATCATGTCAGTATTTGATAGTAATTATACATCGGGATTAGGAAACCAGTTACAAGATCTAGGATTGTAAACATTAAGCGGGGGAGGGGGGATCAGGTACCAAGTGCCGTACGTGACGTCGACTAAGTGCAACTTTGGAATTTACAAAAAAGACCCACCCACCCCCTTCGCGGTACTAACTGTTTTTTTTTCGGATAATATTTAGGACACCCACCCCTTTTGCGGTACTAACTGTTGAGAAATCACGGTACTGACTGTGTCTTGGTATATAAAATAAGATACCCACCCATAAATTGCTTTAAACAGTTCATTAAACATTGGGAAATGGGCAAATTATACCCACTATTTAGTAGGGGTTTTGTTTTCAATGCAGTCGAATTAAATAAAAAGTTACAAAAAAAGGAAACAAAATAAAAAAACCCAAAAAAAAGGAAAAAAACCTCAAAACCAAAAACAAACCATTCCCAATATTGAAATTTGAGGTAAAATGGATATTTTGGGGTTGGACACCCCCTTAGTACCTTGTACTAACTGATTTTCTGGGAAATGAGCAGCAGACCCACCACTTAGTACAAATGTACTAACTGTGTTTTGGAAGAAAATATGACCCACCCCCCCCCCCCTAACGTCACGTACGATTCTGACCTTATGTTCCCCCCACCCCCGCATTAACTCATTAAGAAAGAGTATATTGAAGGCCGCTCTGGAAGACGTGGAATAACCGAGTGAAAACGTGGATCCTTCAAGATCGACTAAATCCCAGAAGTAACAACAACAAGTTTTTGTTGTGACTTCCGTTCTGATTCAGAACAATTTACCTACCATTACAGTCTTACCGACATTAATCATACCAGCACACATTGTGTAGTCTATATAAACCTGTACTTTTAAAAGTACATTTTTCTTGAAACCTGTCCTTTTAAAAGTACATCATTCGAAGATAATGTACTTTTAAAAGTACGTACTTTTGAAAGTACATCATTGTCCAGAATGATGTACTTTTAAAAGTACACCCAATTTACATCTCAATTAGAGACAATTTATGATTTTTATCTCGCCCCACATTATTGCCTATTTATTGCACAATCGTTTAGGCAATATTAAAAAACCAAATTTGGGATCCATCAAAGTTGGAGAATTGGCTGGTGGTACCGAGAATTTACCTTTTTTCAAAGTAACATTTTTGACCACCTTTGCCAACATCCTATAAATTTCTTGCTTTTTTTAACCATCTGGTCAGGGTGTTAAAATCATCAGCAGACTTTTTCTAACCTAATGCAAAAAACTGTATCAAAAAATATTTGTCATGAGACAAGTTAGGTCACTGTTTATGAACCGTACTTTTAAAAGTACCGTGGAAGAATATGGGTTAAGCTGCCGCTGAAGTTAGTTTAAGAATTTTTGCGATATTAAAATGAAGCATATGAAAAGTAAAACAAACCAGACAACAGGCCAGATGATAAACAATTCTTCGATCATATTGAAAGACGCTAAATATTATCAACCTTAGAACTCACTAAAATTTGTCCCCGATCAGAGATGTTGCCGGATGAGTTTGAGTTCTTATTAATCACTTTGGCAACCAGTGCGAAGAATACAAGGTTCACCAAGATAACCAAGACAATGGGGGCTAGGAAGAGAGTGTAGAAGGATGTACTTTCAGGTCGGATAAAGCACATAGTGTCCGCTAGGTACCCGTGTTCTGTGAAAGTGAAGCTACCTACGGTGTGCCGCTTCGTGAAGACGAAATATCCGATGAATGGTATCGGTAGAGGGATACCTAGAATATGGTCAGGTAATTTGTATGATAAGAGTATATAATTATACTCTTCTTATTTGAAAAACAATCGAATAACCAAGATTATGCAAGTGCTCAGATAGAGAAAATATAAGATTGAATAATAATATTATAATAACATACCCCATGCCGCGAGGTTAAACTTCAGCATACACTTTGAGATATGAGATCCGAACACTTGTACGAGAGAAAGGTACATAAGGAACCCTTCGACGACCATCCAGGCGAAGACCACAAGCCATAAGTAATGCTGGATCATCGCGTACACGGCACATCCCGTCGACTTCTGAAACGGGTGGTGGTTGATGAATCGGGCAGTATTCGAAAAGGTCTGACAACTGGATTAGCAGCTGGACTCCTATAATATTATCTGTCAGCACAACTTATAGTTATCATCTAACCTCTAAATATAACTCAAGCTTACCAGTTTTATGACTCCGGTATCATCAGCAGAAATGAAAGCGTCTTGGATGAGGAACATCAATGACGCCAACAAAAGTGCGGTGGTGAAACAGATGTTGATCTTAGCGGATCGAGTTGATCGAAGAGCTTTAGCAGGAAGTAGGAACACCAGAGTTAAGATGAGACTGACGATTGAAATTCCGAGTAGTACATACGTTAAGTAACTCTGTACTTCGGCAAACCCACGATCAATCTCGTAAGCTGACTGAAAACATTTGGTGAAGGAGTGTTTCAAGCTGGGAGATATTACTATAAGTAAGACGAGTTTGAGGCCAGTATTACATAAAATAAAACGAGTTATGTATCATGATGGTTATAAATTTCCTTCCACAGAATCTCACCATAAGGACAGCAAAGCTGGTGTTGTGAGAGCACAAACAGAGCACCCCATCTGATGGCTTGGCAGAGTTGTAGATGGTCTCGCAACCCTCCTTCCACTTTGCTTTAACAGGGTCGTATTTTGCGCAGATGTACGAAACTTGCATTCTTTTACCGTTAGGTTCCATGGTGAGGCTTGAGCTGGTGTTGCCCTGAAGGTTGTAGAGGATTAGAAAATATACGTACAAAGGAATTATTTACTGATAGGATGTATACTTATATTTTTTGAGTAAAGAGGTGTTAACTGTAAACTGTAAATATCTCTGTTATGCTTGCCAGCACTGTGGTACTAGATGCGCACGCAACATCCGCATAAAGTTTGCACGTGCGAAACGTAAGAAATTGTCTCATTCATGATTTCGATTACTTTTTGCTTTCCGACGAAAATTGTCTGATATCGTCCAGAATCTTATTTGCCACAGTGTAAAATTAAAATGTAAGTATAATTATCGTATTTAAATAACTCACTATATTAATGGTGGGCTTCATGAAGACATTTAGCTTGAAGTCATCAGGTACTGCGTTTTGAACTTTGACCTCAGTGATGAAAGAGTTAACAAAGCTCTTTTTGGTGTCCTCGCCATCTTTCTTGGTTGCGTCCTCCAAATCATTCTTCAGGTCATCAATGATTTTAGTGACGGCTTCCTTGTCGTCTTCGTCTTCCTCTTTTGTCACGATTGAAGTCGTCCTGTCGGGCATAAGTGTCGAGTCTGTGATGAGGACCACGGCCATGTCCACATCTACATTCTTTTCTCCCACCTTTGTCTCAATCTGAATAAATTTCATAGTAACATATTTTAATGATATTAATACGATGTTAAATTCATAACATTTACGCATTGCAATACTAATAACTACTGTATGAATTCTATAGGTACTGTTAAGCGAGTACTAATAGAATAAATTCTGACCAATAGAATCGTGTTTTCCTCTTCGTCATCGCCGGATCCAGAGTCTACTTCGCAACCTTGAAGGTCCTTGCCACCTCGACTTGCCTTAGAAAGGGTGAGGGCGACAACTCCATTACTGCTGGGTTCACCAGCATCTGCATCTTTCTTAACATCGATCACGGCTATGCGAGGAGACTTGATAATCTTGTTCTTGACAACAGTTTGCTTAACAACGTTAACAGTCTGAGTCACCAAACTGATCGGTTAGATCTATTTATAGGTTATGATTTGTGAGGTGGCTTGTGTCTTTTAATGTACAAATGATGAAATAAATTCCAGAAATGATTTAAGTAATGTATGAATGTCGAAAAATTTTGAAGTATGGTACAATTCTCACAAAAACAAATCAAAACAATGTACCCGTCACAGATCTTGCTGACGAACTGGGTTTCAGTGTCGTTATCAGCTGTTTTAAAGTCGGACTTCACAAGGTTAGACACGGTGTTTAGGACGCTCTGGGCCACTGCCTCGGAGATTTCCCCGCTTTTGACGATGGATTTTAGAACATTAGACACCGCCTCTACGTCACCGATACCGTTCATACCCTCATTATTTGTCATCTTCTCCATCTGTGCCGTCTTATCTTCATTCGAGGCAGTCTGAGGAGAATGTAGTTATATGACCGGCCATCAACATAAACAATTGGAAAATTAACTATGGTTTAAGCTAGTTGTATAAGATACCATATTTAACTTTTTGTTTACTTTTTTAACTGATATGAGTCATACTAAACCTTATCGTTGGCTAGTTGTTCTATAGCTATCGTATTTTTAGTGTTCTTGCAATAGTAAGTCCCCTCCACATATAACTCCTTGTTCCTCTTCATCTTGCAAGTGAAAACCGCCGTGAAGTCATCAAACTGACATTTCTTGTACTGTGAGCTTTTACCGAGCCCCAGCCAGCCGTGGCTGAATGTTCCGTACTGCGTTCGATAGGTTTCAGAAACACAGCCTTGTCCCAGACCACCTGAAACTTAGATCATTTTTATTTTTAAAATTAAAAAAAATTCATATTTGCACTCTAAAAGTAGAAGTAAAAAAAGGGGGCATTTGCGATGGTCCCGGGTCCACTCTTGACTCTACCCAATTTTTGGTTTGCTTCAAAATTCAAAATGTAAAATACGAGTTTAAGTTCTTGCATCGTATTAACCTCAAGCATAGGTATCATACTAAAACTTGTAACCTGGTTTTGGACAACTAACCTGGTTTTGGACAACTAACCTGGTTTTGGAAAACTAACCTGGTTTTGGACAACTAGGCTCCGCTAGATAAGTAAAAGCGTCTCCAGACGTGCATGTTACTTCACTGCTCCCTTTGTTGAGAGCTCCAGAGTACGAGCATCTAACTTCCACTATGGTTCCGGACAGTACTGAGAACTGTCTTGTCGTTTCGATCGTACCCGTCCACTCAGCCTTTAGTCCACTGCAACTATCTGCATAGTGATGTAAGGTCAAATGATTTTTTATTCGCATTATTGATGAAACTTATGGATTTACCGTCCAACTAAAATTAGGAAATAACAAGGAAACTGCAATTATTAATGGATTGTGATCATAAACCACTTTTAATTAATTAGTAACGATACTTAAAACCAATTGTGAGCGACATTATTATGCAGCACGATTGAAATGATCAAAAGTAGTTATTTAGACACAGTGTCAGAACTCAGAGGGGAACATACTTTGGTTCTGATTAAATATGACACCTAATCTGCCAAACTCACCAAAACGTACCAAAAAACGTACGTAATACTTGAAACCCTCGAAATCCCATTATCAGTGTTCAGTATGCTAGCAATAGTGAAAATACATATATATACTGATATTGGCCTGGTTAAAAATACAAGCTGTTAATTTACTTGGTCCATAGTAATCTGACGCAGTGTCGGAGGAGAAACTTATTTTTGTCACATTTTTACCCCAGATGTTTCTCCATCTACGCCAATCACACGTTGTGTCTGAGAGCAGAGTGTTGAGCACCTCCACCTCGTTACAGTGTATCACAAGCCTGATATCTGCACTTTTGGTGAGGGTGATACGCCATATCTTGTCTGCATCACTGGGAGGTGTTATGGAGAAGTTAGACCAGGAAGGCTTGCACCAGTCGAGTTTGTATTTTAGAGTTTCGCCGAAGTTGATCCATACTTTTCCTGCATTGTACTTCCAAGCAGAGTAGAAGGACACTGTCAGGTTATCTAGACTCTGCAACTCGCTGTTGGTTTTAACTTGTAAAGGTACTGAGGCCAGGTCCCATTCTATGTACGCATCGTCATCAGGTTGCACTGGTAACCAACCTGTGTGGTATTAATAAGTGACGTCACGTCTGGTATTAAGTGACGTCACGTCTGGTATTAAGTGACGTCACGTCTGGTATTAAGTGACGTCACGTCTGGTATTAAGTGACGTCACGTCTGGTATTAAGTGACGTCACGTCTGGTATTAAGTGACGTCACGTGAACTGAGAGAAATGAATCTCATCAGTGTGAATTTTGTGATAGCACTCCTCCGTCAATCAATGTAATACAAGGTGGTCCAATATTTTGATTTACGGTATAAAAACACGACAGTGAAGCTGAAGACTCCCTTGACAATAATTCAATTATGCCCATTATATTTATACAATCAATTTGTGCTGTTAGAGTCAGTATATAAACTGAGTCTAACAGCATACAAACAGATTAATCAGCTTCAGACTTAAGATTCGTAATATAAAGATGCTAATAACTGGTTGTTACTTTCACCCAGCTCGGGTTCAGTCTAGTGCATTCTGGTGGAGTGTTATAGCTTAATTCAAACAATCTCAATCAGATATCGTTTTATATCAAATTTAACCCAAGCACGTACCAACTCAATAACAGATCAATTTGGGAATCTTACCTTTGGTCCCAAAACATGACTTATAAGCTGTAAACCAGCCCGACCGGGAACCAATGTCCGTGTACTTTAATCTATAACACAGCCTCCTGGTCCAATGAGCTGGGCTTATAAGTACTGCTAGACAAAGTTCCTCTTCATTACACCAACTTATACAATCGTCTTTGTTGATCAGGTTTTTCTGTCCAATTCTGTTAGAGTCTCCTAGTCCTATGTTACCGGTGTTATTATGCCAGCAACCTGACATTACTAAGGTAAGTAACATTTTTCACAACGATAAACCCCCCTTTTGAGTCTTGGTATTTCGTTAAATTTAATAAGCGACCATCATTCATTACGAAAAATTGAAATATGTATTCTTGATTCAAAGTCATTCAATTTCAAAACTAGAAATTAGGGTTAAAAATGAAATGTAAGATCTTACTCATACTTTGTGTTGCAGAGTGCAGTAAGTACGCTATGAAAACGATAACAAGCTTCATGGTATAACGCTGAACATTTTTACCTGGAAATATGACAAAAACTTTTGATTGATGTTTAAAGATCTCAGAGGACTTTGAAGACTTTGAAGACGTTCAACAGAAATTAATAAATTTTGAATCCAGAGCCCAGACACTAGAAATAGAATAACGTTTGATCATTTTTCTACAACACCTGTTGAATAAAGTTGTTACTAACCATTAACGCTGTTCAAGATTTGAGAGCGAGAAAAAGAAACTCCGCTGAATACTGCACTGATATACGATAAAACTAAAAGGACCGATTTGATCTTTGCGTGTCATTAGCGCCCATCGCCTTGCTCGATCCTGGTAAAGCAGATCACCAATTTTGAAGCCTGTAGTCTTTTATTCAACCTGAGATGCATAGAAATATCACGGCGCCTTACGAAAATTTCATTGTTCTGAGATAACTAATGCACGATTAGGTTCGTGTGTGAGAGAATCAGGTCTCGTCTTCTAGTGCTGCAGATTTGAATATTTATCGAGAGAATCGGGTAACGTCTTCTAGTGCTGCAGATTTGAATATTTATTGTTACTAGAAAACCGGCCGAGAGCTTTGTAGTACACGGCATGTAATAAAGATGGCAGATCGTGAATGGCAGCTATCTTACTTATAGGCCATTGAAATTGTATGATATCATGCTCGCAATAAACTTATAAGCATTGCCCAACATACCTAAGAATCTAAGAT